TCACATAATTTATATTCTCAAGAGGTGCTCAGGTAGTGGCACAGGTCAGAAGGGTTATAGGCTCTGAATGATTCATGGTGCCCTTGCTCTGTCCTCCACTACTCGAGAGCATGTGGGGATGCAGGGGATGAGATTGCCTTTATGCCTAGGGTAGCGTTGAATCAGCCTTATTTTATAAAAGAACAAATCAGTCACAAACTTTGGTATTTGAAAAATGTGTGTATGTATGTGTGTGCACACATGCATGAGCGCACGCACACACATACATACACACCCCCAAAGCAAAATGACCTTCTTCTAAAATTAAGTGCAGTTCAAGTCACCAGAGACCAAGGTTGATAACAAGACTAGTGTAATATTGTTTTGGTGCCCATTGCCCATGCCCTTCCCCTTTGGGATTATGGTCCCCCCGCCCCCATCCTGGGGTTCAGGCAGTGCAATAACGTGGACTTTAACCATTGTGTTGCCAGGGTCCTTGCCCAGCGGGCCCTGATGGCTGCCTTTTTTCTATCCCTGAACTCCTAGGCATTGGTTCTGAGCAGAGGCCACTGAATGCTCAGCCCCTCAATCACATAGCCCCCATCATTCAAGTTCTCTAGGCTCCAGAAGCCCCTGCAATCAGGACGTCAGAAGACTTCATTTTCAAGCCCATCCTGTAGCCGCCCTCTTCAGTCCACAGATATCTATGCACTGTTGACATCAGCCCCCTTTCCCTCCAGTTCTTCTTTTGAACAGCATTATTGAGATATAATTCATCTTCTTTGTCAAGTGTGTATCTCACTTACTTTTGGTATATTCACAGAGTTATGCAACTATCCCCACAAACAATTTTAGAACATTTTCACCACACCTGAAAGAAACCCCATGCTTCTTTTAAAATAAAATATTCATTTCTTGTCCACATTACATGAGGACTGCAAGTTGATTACAGTTTAACTGTGCTAGAAACCCCGTACTTATTAGCAGTCGCTGCCATACCTGCCCCAGCCCTAGGCGACCACTAATCTACCTTCTGTCTCTGTGGGTTTGTCTGCTCTGGACTTAGAATATAAATGGACTTATACAAGACACAGTCTGTTGTGACCGACTTCTTTCACTTTAGCCCTAATGTTGCCAAGGTTCACCCATGTGGTATCATGGGATTGGCTCCCTCTGATTGCTGAATAACATTTCATTATACAGATGTACCAAATTTTATTTCTCTTTTCATCAGTTGATGGACATTTGGCACCTTTCAGTTCTTGAAGCACTAAGTCCCCCTCTCTTCAGCTCTTTCCCTCTAGCCCCAGATCAGGGATTGCAGACTCAAATGTCTGTCTGCTAGGTAGAAGAAAAAGAGGAAGTAGTGAGGACCATGGCAGATGAGAGAACATGTGCCCATCTAGTACAGGTAGCCCACACTCAAGCATTGCCAAGGGGCCATTCTGAGCTGGTGCTATTAGAGCTCCAGAGAGGCCAGATTCGGGATTTTTATGTGGAAATTTCCTGTGTTTTAAATAGGAAACAAGCAAACATCATGGGAGAGAGACAGAATACAATTCTGCTTGAGACTTAATGCTAAATAAAGGTGATCATAGGTGATACAGAGACACATTTCACCTTCAGGAGCCCATGGAGGGTTTACTGGAGTGTGGGATCAGCTGGAAACTTCTGCCTTTTCATTGGGCAACACAAAGCAGCTATTCATCTTTTTGGAGGAAAGGTCTAAAATCAACACTCTGGATTGAGAGGGAGTGGAATTTCTCTTGTTCTTTGGCTCATCAGTGTGCTGGGGCAGGAAAAACAAAGCACCACTAATATCTACATTACATTAGTGTTCAGTTGCCCTGCAAATCCACTTCTGGATGGATTATTACCTGCTGGCATGCCTTTGATTATGATTATGACTTCAACCACGGTTGAAAAGTGCTGATTCTGCACAAGATGTGCCCTGAATCTGTGAGGCCAGATTTTATGGACCTGGGAAAGGAGAAACAGGAATGGTGTGGTCTCCTTATATACAAAGATGCCATGGTAATATAGGTTGGGGCATGGAAAATATTGAGGTTCATGACAATAGCAAGTATTTATTGAGGAAATAACCCCTCTGCTTGCCACTGTCCATTTTCCATTTTGTTTTGCATGTGACTACAAAGGAAGTGGGTATTTAAAATAATTTTTTTTAAGTTTACTTCTTTATTTTGAGAGATACAGAGACAGCGTGAGTGAGAGAGGGATAGAGAGAGAGGACGAGAGAGAGAATCCCACTTGAACCTACAAACCATGAGATCCTGACCTGAGCTGAAACCAAGAGTTGGATGCTTAGTGGACTGAGCCACCCAGTCACCCCAGAAGTAGGTATTTTTACAGGGAAAGACGTTCATAGAAGCCAGCGGTGTAGTGCTTGACATTTACAAAGAGGTTTTTATTTCATTATCTAATTTGAATCTGTGGGGATAAGCATTTTTACCTAACCCTGTTTTATAAACTGAGACATGATGGGAGAGAAATGATGTGATTAAAGCCATCAAACAATGAAGCCAAAGACTTAAATCCTTGTTATTAGATTACAAATCCCGTATCTTTTCCATAAATATATAGCTGCCTTTCTAATCCTTTCCAATTTTGGTTTGAGTAGCAGGTGTAGATACTTTTATGCTTAATAATATAGTGTTTTAAGGGCTCCTGTGTGGCTCAGTTGGTTGAGTGTCCAATTCTTGATTTCAGCTCAGGTCATGATCGCAAGGGTGTGGGATCAAGCCCCATGTCGGGCTCTACGCTGAGTGTGGAAACTGCTTAGGATTCTCTCTCTTTCTCTCTCTCCTGTCCCTCTCCCCAACTCATGCTTTCTCTGTCTAAAATAAAAATAAAAATATAGTATTTTATTGTATATTTATTTTATGTATTTTTTGATATATTTTAGATATAAAATATTCACTATAGTTTATATTATTTATATTATATTATAATGCTTGAATTTATATTGTTATTATCCACTCAGGAAATAATAAAAGGAAATGGTGGTTTTTAAAATGTTTTAATATTTTTTTATTCCTTGTTTCAGTCATCAACATTAACTAATTAATAAATAATTGGGATCAGGTGTACATATCAATTACCTAGGCATTATAAAGAGATTTGATGATAACAACAGATATGGGAGACATTAAGTTAATCAGTCTCAGCCAGACAATCTCCTTTCCTTTCCCTCTCCTCACCTTCTCTCCCTTCTTCCCTTGTGTCTTCTTTCCTCCTTTTTATTTTATTTTCCCATTCAGTGAAGGGATAATTTATAAGAAGCAAGAAATCCTTGAGACTCAATCAAAATTGTGCTCTTTTGCTTAATGCATTTATACATTCAAGTCATTCAACAGTGAATATTTATTAAGTTGTAACAGTGGTTTCCTGTCTGCTGTAACAAATTAACATAGACTTGGCAGCATAAAACAAAGAAATCTCCAGGTCAGTTCTGGAGTCAGCAGTCCACAGGTGTCACACACAGGTCCTCCTTCCTTCTGGGGTTTCAGAGGGGACAAAATCCACCGCCTTGCCTTTTGCAGCTAATAGAGGTCACTTGCATTCCTTGACTCCTGACCCCTTCTTCTCTTCTCTCCAATTTCTTGCTTCTCTTGTGACATCTACTTCTGCGTTTGACTTTCATGTCTCCCCCTCAAAAGGAACCTTGTGGCTACATTGAGCCCCCGCTGAATAACTCCAGATAATCTCCTGAGGTTAACATCAGCTGATTAGGAACCTGTTCCATCTGTAACCTTAACTCCTCATTGCCATGTAAACTATTCACAGGTTCTAGGGATTGGGACATAGATCTCTTGAAGGATTGGGGATTTTGTATCTACTATATACCGGGTACCAAGAAGACTTCTATTCTGTTGGATTCAGTCTTTCTAATTAGATGTACTTATCACTGACAGCTCGAGATCTGTGTATGTCTCAGTTTTTCTACTGGAGTGCTCACATGTCCAACGTCTGCCTCTTTGGACACACAACAGATGAACCATCATGCCCAGCATCTGATGTCACCACTAACCTCAAGAGTACCTCCATTTGAGGCAGTACCTGTGGATCACTATCAAGCTCACTATGACAAATCCAGAAAGGCCTCTCATTATTGAATGATTCTCTTTTTTAAATTATAATTCTCTCTCTTAATCACAGTTTAACTAGTACTAAGTGTAAAAGTTGATCTTTCTTGGCCTCATCCACTTTCACAAGGATGGAAATAGGGAAATGTGTGGAATCTAGCATCTCAATGGGACACCTTGGCAAAAGTGTAAAAGTAAAAGGAGACACTATTAATAATCATGCAGGGGGTGCCTGGGTGGCTCAGTCAGTTGAGCATCTGACTTTGGCTCAGGTCATGATCTCATAGTTCATTGAGTTTGAGCCCCACTTCGGGCTTTTTCCTGTCAGCACAGAGCCTGCTTTAGATCCTCTGTCCCCTTCTCTCTCTGCCCCTCCCCTGCTTGTGCTCTCTGTCTCAAAAATAAATAAAAAAGATAATCATGCAGGAATAGTCGGTGTAAAAGAGGACTAACTTGGGAATAGTGAGCCATAGGATCTCCCTAAATATTGAGCCCAAGTGAATAACAGCCATAAACGCTGACTGTAAAAGTGTATTGAGTACTCCATTGGTTCAGAGCGCTGCGATAGAAGCTTGATGTCCTTTGCTTCATTTAATTCTTACAACAATCTTACAAGGTAGGCGTTATTATTATTATTATTAATCCCTAGTTTAGAGTTGAGGGAAATGAAGCTTAGAAATTTAAATACCTAGCTTAAGCTAGTAAGTTGCTAAGTTAGGATTTAAACCTAATTTTGTGAAGCACTAAGTCAAATGCTCTTTTCTATTATACTGCCTTCCAGAAAAAGTATAGATGCTTGGAAATTATTGTTGCCAAGTTTTAACTGGGTATTTTAAAAGATGTTAGATGTTAGAGATACACAACGCCCATGAAAAACCAGGAGCTATAATAGATACTTTTTCTTTGTCTTTCCTTTAGGTCTGTCAGTTTGTTGTCTCCGTAAATGGGCTCAATGTGCTGCATGTAGACTACCGGACGGTGAGCAATCTGATTCTGACGGGCCCTCGGACGATCGTCATGGAAGTCATGGAGGAGTTAGAGTGCTAAGCAGGTGGACATCTTGGCCCGTAGGTGGCCTGAGGATGATCAAAGCCAGGACAACACAAAGCAATGCAATGACAAGACTTATATACCAGTGGATGGTTTTGGACACACAAATGTTTTCTCCATACATACACATCTTGATTTGAGTTTCGTACACTGTTTGAATGTGGAAGGACTGGGTGGATCATCTTTAAAACAAAACAACAACAACAAAATTTATGTCAGTATAGAAAAACATTGAGAAATGGAATTTTCTTAGATCGTAGAATTGCCTTACTTGATTTCCATGTGTAGTTCTTACCCATTGTTTTATTTTTTAATCTTAGTTTGCAGAAAGTTGTCAAAATGCTTTTCTGGCCCAAACAGCAATGTGCTAAAATCCCCTCATAGGAATCAATAGAGTAGTTGTTACAGATTTTAAATGGTTCTCTTACCAAAATGAGCATGGAACTGTTTCTTAAAGGATCTGAATTTCACTAAGCTTCAAATAACGCAACATCTCCAAAGGAATATTACCTGTTAACTAGCATTTTGAAGAAGGTTCTAAAGCATTCAAGCGCTCAAAACCCATTGAAAAAAATGTCTTTTTCTTAATTCCTGCCTTTAGTATCAACTTTTAACATATGTTCTCAATTATGGCATCAGTTAGGAAACAAAAACCATGTGATGATATGGGTGGGAGAAATAGATAGATAATACATTTATGTGCTCTGACTTCTTTCTGACCCTAAATAATTTTGTTCTATCAATCAGCTACAGAAGCCTTCTAGAGTTAATCCAGAATATGTTGAATGTCAAAACAGAAGAATTTGTATATATACATATCAAGCCTCTGGCAATATTTCACTTTGAAGTTGTCCCTTTATAAGTGAAGTATTCTAGGACTTGGCCCTTATGTGATAAGACTTGAAATTAAATTGCCTTATTGGCCTGAATTTTTACTAGCTTTCTAGCGTGATGTATTCTAAAGGCACAACATGTCTTGCTTATGTGGTGGGATTATTTTTCACCAAAACATCATCTTGCATTGTAATTTTCAGCTCACTGTATATATGCACATTTCTTTCTTTTTTTTTGTTTTTTGGTTTTTTTTTTGTTGGTTTGTTTAGAAAATAATGCATTTGGGGATTTGGTGTGTAGAGGAAATTCCTCGAAGTGCCAAATTAGGTAGTCAGGGAATGCAAAATTCCATTCTGAACAACCAGGTTTCTTTCTTATCACGTATTCGCAACATAAAATATGAATGTCATACCTCAGCCATTCTTTTTGTGATAGGTTATCATGTCTTGGTACTGGTGGGATGGACATGTCATGCTAAAGATGTTACATATATATGTTTCTGGTAACCCAACGTTTCTGATCTGTAGCTTTAGTGAGAGAGTAGTATTTGAAGTAACAAAACTAACATTAGTCCCGTCGATCTATATTTGGGGACTAGTACCGTCTCTGTGTGTGTATGTGCGTTTATACTGTATGCCAGGCTTTGTGCTATGGCACTTAAAATATGTGATCTCTTTGAATCTTCATTAGAACCCTGCAAGATAGCTATTATCACCCTCATTTTTCAAGTGTGGAAACTAGGTCTGAGCAACCTTAAAAATGGTCTCAATGTTCACACAGCTGCAACAACTGCTAAGATTCAAACATCGGTTTATTTAATGCATTAACGCCCATGTTACCGTGCCTCCCCCAGCCTCTCCCCACTTAGGGACCTACGTGGTGGGCTGCTTTTGTGTCCAGTGCTGTGCTGTAAGTAAACCACTTATTCCTCCTGACCTGTGAGGTCAATATCATCACTATCTCCATTTTACACCTGAGGAAATGGACTCATAGAGAGCTTAGTCATGTGCCTAAGGCCACACAGCTAGTAAGTGGGAGACCTTATGATTCAGCTTTAAGAGGTTTTATAACGTCTTTAAAAGATGAGTTTCTTAAATGCTTTCTGTGACCAGGTGTTCATTAAGCAACTAAGGAGGAAGGACCACCTTTGAGAATGGCATTTTCTCCCTGCCAGCCATCTGTACTGTGTACTCATGTCCCAGTGCGCGTCATCTTGGGCCCTGATGTACTGTCACTTCCCTTTAGCCAATCTAAGCACCAGAGACGCATCCGTCTGTCTGTCTTTCACACAGCCTCCTTCCTGCAGGTGGAATTTCTTGGATTCAGAAAATGTTATTGATCTCTTTGGTCAAATGAATACCAGAAGAAGGAGAGAAGGAAAGAAAGGGAAGAACTACTTCTTCCTTTGGCTCTCATAACCTTCAGTTTACAGGCCTAGTGCCAGATAATTCTACTTAAGGCCAAGAGAGCTTTACTTTAGCTGTTCCTCGGCCCACTGGGGACATCCTCACAGTGTGACTAAAGTGAACGATCCCATTCCTGTCGGGGCACTAGTCAGCTCCCTCTAGCCTTTGCACAATTTCTCCTCTCTGAAATATTATTTCACCTTCTTTGCCTGGAAAAAAATCTGTCTAATTAACTCCCCTTAGATATTATCTTCTCTGAGAAACCTTTGCCAGCTCCCTAGTTCTGGGATTGACTCCCCTTCTCTAAATTCCCATGGACCCTTATGCGTCAACCCCCTCTAATTACAGAACTGATGTTTGCTTTGAGGTTGTCCATCATGCGTCTGTCTCCCTAACCACACTGTGCATATCTGCAGAATATTCCCTTCACCTAGTGCAGTTGGTGACAGGGTAGTGCATCAGCTATCCATGGGTCCCCAACAAACTTCCCCCGAACATGGCTCATGACACTCTATGTGCCCATGATCCTGTGGGTTGGCACTTTGGGCAGCGCTCTGCTGGGATGGCCAGCCACTGCTCAGTGTGGTGCTGGTTGGGTTCCCACAAACATCTGTGGTCTGGGATATGTCTGTCTCACAGCTGGCTGGGGCTGTTGGCTGGGGTGCCTCCATTCTACCCCATGTGGCCTTTCTGCACAGCTGCCCAGCCTTCCTCAATTAGGCCTCCTGAGATCAAAGAAGGTGCAACTGAAAACTGCGGGACCTTCTGGGGACTCACCTGGAGGGTCACACAGTGTTACTTCCGTAGCACATTGTTGGTCAAAGCAAGTCGCAAAACTAGCTCAGAGTCAAGAGGTGGGAAATACATCTACCTTTAATGGGAGGAGCTGCAGAGAAATTGTGGCTACTTTTAATCCACCAAGAGTAGGCACTCCCCATTCATGGAATAAAGGACCTAAGAAGTTGCCTGATTATTGAAAGGCGAGATGCAAGTAACTGACCAAACACTGGGTAGAAGTTTGATAGGAGGTTGCGAAGAAAGCCCAGTGCCTAATGAAAGCTTCAAAGTTGGAAAATCCTGAAACGATAGTGCCACACGGAGCCACAGAGAGCAGTTTTATCGCCTCATTTTGCTGATGTGGCAGCTGCAGTGTGGAATGGTCAGGGGCTCATGAGGCTTGTCGGGGCTGCAGCCTGGGCTAGACGTGAGTCTTCTGCCCTCCGATGACATGTCCTTAACAAGATAGCTTTCTGTGGTGGATGCAAGTATGGTGAAGCTAGGCCTTTGGCTCTGGGGTATTCATAAAATGCAAGAGGCGCCATGTACCTATGAAGGTGAAGGACATACATTTTAACTGACTCAGGCCTTGGATTGTTAAATCATATCATTAAAAAAAAAAGTAATTGTGTGATATTTTAACAGATGAATTGCTTTAAAATTTAGGAACTTCATTCCTGAATATAACACCAAGAATTATTCTAAATTAACAGTAAGCAATATTTCTAAGAGCTTTTATTTCCTATCTATGTGTGCATGTGTGTGTGCTTATCAGTGCGTGTGATTTCCCTCACTGAGAATCCTTGAAATGGCTTTGTTTGTTCCCAGAGAAAACACTTTGATTTTTCAGGTGTTTGTGTAATGTGTTCATGTGTCTGTGACGGCGGTAGAAATCTTTCTTTGTTTCTTCATTAGCATAATGTGTGCTATCAGTGCAAATTTAAAGCCATGTTTGTTATTTCTGCTGTAGAGAGAAAAATGCGGTTGCCTTTTGGGTTGGTCCTATTGTGTGGTGTTTTATTATGAATGAATCTCTGATAAATAATTGCATAAACTGATAGGGGGACTAGTTGAGAAATGATGGGTAACAGGAAGAAGATATCCATGTTTGAGTAGCTGAGATCCAGTCAGCTTCATACCATCTTATAAAAGATGAATGCACTGGGCTGATAGTAATTAACAATTAAAAATCATTGCTTTCCGTTCAAAATGGAGTCTCACATTTCCAAATACTCTTTTCAAATATTTGTGACAATAATCTACTTTCAAGACCCATTTTAAACTGACATTAACTATTCTCTCCTGTTGAGTATTAATCCTGTTTCATTTTTGATCAGAATAACTCTGGAATGTTTCAGTTTTGCCAACTGGTTAGAGTCCATCAATACCATTGTTTTAGCCATTTATGGTAGGATTTCAGGTGTAATATGCTTTCCCTCAGTTCAACACCAAAAGGACAAATCTACAGCGTACCAAAATGAAATTCATCATCAAAGTTGCATATGATATTATCAAATGCATTAATATATGCACTTAATATATATGTTTATTTTTAAATTAGGTTGAATTTATGTTTCCATTTCTTAAGAATTGTAGCATAATACTTAAAATATGAAAATAGATTGTACAGTAGGAAATAAATGTTAAATTTTTAAAACAGTGACTTTATGTTTACAGCATTTCCTGTCCTTTAGAACAAATTAGCCATTTTTTATCCTAAGAAAGGGTTGCATTATAAAGTTGCTCTACTACTAACCTATCAGAGAAAACACATGGGATTCATATCTACTTCTCTAATGTAGCCAAAAGTGCCATTTGTAACACTACTTAATGATGGATGTTTTCTGAAGCTCTTTTGCCTGAAAAAAAAAAAGTGTATTAAAAAGCTTTTTCTGTACTGTATTTGATTTGGAATCATTTTATCCCTGGTATTTTATCTTGCTATTGATGAGTATTATGGAATAGTCTATATGGAAAAATGTTATATAGTGATTTACTTCTCTGGGAGAATGTTAGTTCTTTTTCTATTTTCAACTAATTAGGAAATTGATTACATAATTCAGTATGTGTAGGGCAGGGTAAAATATGAGGGTAAGTGATTATTTAGATTACACCCAATACTAACCAAAAGAACTTTACATTTTTCTCTCATGTATCCCTTCATTCATTCATTCATTCATTCATTCAAGGAATCTCGCTGAGACTGTGTTTTGTTAAACACTGTATCTAGGCCCTGGGAATACAAAACTGAGTGGGTATGACATTGAATCCAGCTCATCCTTTGAGTCACTTTTGGGCTTGTCTCCTAAAAGTGTTCTTTCCATGGAGTGGCGGGGGGGGGCGGGGGGGGACATGAAATCATGGTGTTAAAGCAGGTGGTTTAACGCCAAAAAACACTATCTAATCCAAGAGCCAGAACACTGACAATAATTTACATTTAACTGGATCTTGTCCCCCACTTTCTCTTACCCAAGGTAACTGCAGTGGTGAGTGCTGAGTTTATCATTCTCTTGTTCTTGATAATTGCTTACATTTTTAAAAATTATCTTTATTAAAAGAGCGTCAAGTTTTATATAATCTTCTGAGAGTTACATGTTTTCATTCAGGATTATATTACTAAGATTCTTCTAGATTTTGGTGTAGAGTCATAATTAATTCATTTTTCACAGCTTCATCAATTTCTAAGGCACAAGTTGTCTATTTTCTTGTCACGGGGCATTTGGGTTGTTTGCACTGTTGTCGTTACCATCACTAATGGGGCTGTTATGAACCTTCTCCCACCATCTTCTGGGAATCAGCAAAGGAGTTTACCTTAGGTATTTACTTGGGAGAAGAACTGCTGAGTCATGGGAAATGGGAGTGCTGACTTTACAAGACCACATCTAACTAATTTCCGAAGTGATGAACCAATGTACACTCCCATCCAAAATATCAAAGTGATAGATGTTGTCAGTATCTTCTCCAACACTTGATATTCAGAGACTTAATTTTTGTCAAACAAATGCCTCTTTGGTCAATGATACTGAAAGTCCTAATTTGCTGCAAAGCTTATAAATGTAAAGCACAGAGAATGCAATTAGTAGTTTATAACCCTAACTCACTATATCAATGTCTTCATGCTGCCTGGAATGTCTTGAAACTTCTTATCCTGTAATAACTCCGTGATTCTGATGAAAGTGGGATCACTGGAAGTCAGCGTGACATACTTAAGAATATCCAACAGATAATTTTTAAGCATCTACTATGGGACTGTCGCTAAGTCTTTGGCAAACAACTATAAATAAGATAGGTTCTTGTCCATATTAAGTTTACATATTCTTGGGAGCCCCAGACAATAAATAAGTTACACAAAGAAAATAGTTCATTTTAGGTAGGGGTAAGTGCTAAGAATTAACTGAAACCAGATGGGGTGATGGAGAATGACCTGGATTCCAACGATGTCGTCAGGAAAAACCATGCTTCTCCATTCCAGTGAGGCACCAGTCAGGTTACAGTCTATGTGGACGGTGCCCTCTGAAGGTATGTGGTGCAACAGCCCTAAGCAAAAGCCTCTGCAAACCTCTTTCCCACCCTGATTGTATTAACATCTAAAGAATGGGATTGAGCCAGCCTTAGAGCAATCTGGAAGAAGAGTATTGCAGGCAGAGGAAACAGCAAATCCAATGATACAAAGGTTCGAAGGTCAGAAGGGTTAAGAGCAAGGGATCTCAAGACATAGAGACTTAAAGTCAGATTCCAGTTCTCAGCCTTGAGAACCTGTTCAGTTGCTCGACCTATGTAGGTATCAGTGTCCTCATCTGTATAATGGGGATTATAGCACTGACTCCATTTGACCACAGTGAGGATTAAATGGAATAATTCGTGTAAAATGCTTATCCTTGTGCCTGATCCATAGTAAGTAATCAATAATTGGATCCTTCTCTTGCTTTTATGCCCACAAAACAGGAAAGAAAGTGAACTCTGGGGAAGTTATGACTTACCCCAAACTCATGCCAACTAATGTATACGTGGGACTGGAACCCAGGCCCCAGAATGTGCAGTCAGTGCTCTTCTCAGTGCATCTTATCTCCCTCCCCCCCAAGATTTCATTTTTAAGTAATCTCTACACCCAACATGGGGCTCAAATTTACAGCCCCAAAATCAAGAGTCAAATGCTCCACCGACTGAGCCAGCCAGGCACCCCTAGGGCATTTTTGTGTCCTGGATTTCTCATTTTTAAGTGATATAATCATCTCAGAAAGCTATCATGAAGATTAATTAGTAATATATCTGAAGGTCTTAGTACAGTGCCCAATACATAGTACTTTAAAAATAGCTACTGATAGTTATCACTATCATCATCATCATCATCATCACCATGATCGTGTCATGCTAATTAGCAGTCATGTTGAAAGACACACACAAATTCTATAAGATTGCCTATACATAGGTATCTTCATCACCAACCATATAAATTTTAGTTGTTTTTGTCATAAATGAGATAATAGAAGGATTAGAAAAAAAAAAAGAGTGGTACCTGGGTGGCTCAGTTGGTTAAGCATTTGACTTTGGCTCAGGTCATGATCTCACAGCTTGTGGGTTCGAACCCCTGTGTTGGGCTCTGTGCTGACAGCTCAGAGCCTGGAGCTGCTTCGGATTCTGTGTCTCCCTCTCTCTCTGCCCCTCTCCCACTTGCCCTCTGTCATTCTCTCTCTTTCAAAAACAAATAGACGTTAAAATTTTTAAGAAAAAAATACACGATCATCACTATATTCAATTGAGTACATTAAAAGAAATTACCTACTCCGTAACTTTTTTTTTTTGAGCGAAAAAGAGCACACAAGCAGGGTAAGCAGGGGAGGGGGCGTGAGAGAGAGAGAGAGAGGAGAGTATCTTAAGCAAGCTCCAAGCTCAGTGAGGAGCCCAACATAGAGCTTGATCCCAAGACTATGAGATCGTGACCTGAGCTGAAATCAACGGTTGGACAGTCAAGCGACTGAGCCACCCAGGCGCCCCTGTCACTTTTGCTATATTCCTCAGGTACTGAGGAGCAAGTAGATTTGCAGGTTGTGTAGAAAACATAGCTCTGGATTTGTGGTTGTAAGTTGGGAGAGAGCAAAAATTATTTCGCTTTGGCTTTTCATTCAGCTACCTCACTTTGAAACTAAAAATTACATGTAAAAAAATTACCACACTTCTCCAAAGAGGACATCCAGATGGCCAACAGACACATGAAACAATGCTCAGCATCCCTCATTATCAGGGAAATAAAAATCAAAACCATATCGAGATACAACCTCACGCCAATCAGAGTGGCTAAAATGAACAAATCAGGAGACTCTAGATGCTGGCGAGGATGTGGAGAAACGGGCACATCTTGCACTGTTGGTGGGAATGTAAACTAGTACAGCCCCTCTGGAAAACAGTGTGGAGGTTCCTCAGGAAACTAACAATAGAACTCCCCTATGACCCAGCAATAGCACTGCTAGGAATTTACTCAAGGGATACAGGGGTGCTGATGCATAGGGGCACATGGACCCCAGTGTTCATAGGAGCACTCTCAACAATAGCCAAAACATGGAAAGAGCCTAAGTGTCCATCAACGGACAAATGGATCAAGAAGATGTGGTTCATCTACACAATGGAATACTGCATGGCGATGAGAAAGAGTGAAATCTGGCCATGTGTAGCAACATGGATGGACCTTGAGGGTGTTATGCTGAGCGAAATAAGTCAGGCAGAGAAGGACAAATACCATATGTTTGCACGTATAGGAGGATTAGGAGGAAGTTAATGGAAGACAAAGCAGGAGAAGAAGGTTGAAAATAGAGAGAGGGAGGGAGGCAAACCATGAGAGACTCTTGAATGCTGAGAACAAACTGAGGGTTGTTGGGGGTGGGGGAGAGGGGAAGGGGGGAGATGGGCATGGAGGAGGGCACTTGTGGGGATGAGCACTGGGTGTTACATGGAAACCAACTTGACAATAAACTATTTGTAGAAAGAAAACTTACCAAACATAATCTTTAAAACTCAAGGTCTCATATCAAGTAATTTCACAATACTGCATATTATCTATTTACTACCCGATCAGTTTCCTGGCAGTTTTATAGCCTGTTAAGAAAACAATGAACGGAATCAGCTGTCCCACGGCAAACACTATTTCAGGGTTATACGAGTAAGTTGTCTTGAAGTTACAAAGGTTTCCTGGGCAAACCTTAATGAAGACACCATCCCATTTGTCTTTTGTGCGCAGTTTCTTGAGTCCAGAGGCTAAGGCGAGTCATGCCGGAGTCATGTAAACGGAACCGCCACTCCGTGCTTCTGTGAGCGCGAGCTTTCCGCAGGCAGAGTGGAGACACAGGCTGCTGCTTGCCTTGTGCGTCTGGCGAACGCACTGGAGCAACAGAAAGGAGCTCTCTGTAAAGAAGTTGGCAAAGTGTCACATGTTCTTATGTCCCGGACTTGACAGCTACCCTTTCCTTTACTGTCATTCTTCTGCCTCTGTGACTTTCTCTCTTTGCCTCCTCGGACTCCATGTCTTTCTCTAACTTCCCCTTGCTCCCTTGGGATTAAATGTTAACCTTGTTTCTCTCTGAAGCCGGAAATGCCTGGGTTCACAAAGGCCGATTCATAATACAAACTTGATGATGGGGGAGTGGCTAGTGACACCTCCTGCGGTCCAACTTGAGTGGCTGGGACTTGGCTGGGTAGCACAGTGTGGAAGAAAAAAGAAGAGAGAAGAAAACGTTTGACTTGTTACCTCAACTTTGAAAATGTCTATATGAGGGGTACCTGAGTGGCTTAGTCGGTTAAGTGTCAGACTTCAGCCCAGGTCATGATCTCGCGGTTCATGGGTTTGAGCCCCACATCAGGCTCTGTGCTGACAGCCCAGAGCCTGGAGATGCTTGAGATTCTGTCTCCCT